GAAAAGTTTATCAGTTACTTCCATTTCTTGAAGTTGTATACCTTGAGCTTCTTCCACGTTTTTAATAGTTTTTCGAATTTCAATAAATTTCTTTAGTAATTTGATTCTTTGTTGATGCTTGTCCAATATTTCCTATACGCTTTGCAAAATTTGCCTATAAAAACGTGCTGATGTAACAACGAAACATTTTATCTGGATCACGCGCTAAATTATCAAATAAAAAGAAATCGTATTTGTCTTCTGTTACTTGATGATATAATTCGATAATTTTACCTTTCGTTACATCACCGCATTGCTCATTTGCAATATTTCTCACATCAAAATCCAGGAAATATATAAAAATACCACTAGTTCACCTGATAAATCTATCAACGTTGCAAAAGCATTGGATAAGAGAGATCGAATTACATTTAATATTTTTGTTACGCGATGATGAAAATAAGATCTGGAATTAGTTCTTCTTGTTGTCTTATCAAAATATATCATCGCCAGCGTCAAGTTCATCACGAAGTTTATTGTTGTACTCGCTTAATAATTTATATTTATCCTGTTGCGGGTTAATTGCGTAAATACATCCTATATATTAGTTTCAGTTGTTGTTGAACGAAAAATTATTAACAAATTTGTTTTACCTGATCCTGTATTTTATGTAATATTAAACTGACTAATGTTGACAATTTTATGTAGGACAATAAATATAATAAACTATTACACAAAATCTGGAGAAACATTAGATCTATCAGCTGATGGTCAGCAAGGCAACTTATCTAGATTTACAACTCTTGATCATCTCAAAAATGAAATCAATATTTTATTAAACATCACAAGTGGAGATCAAAATGAAGTTGTTGTTGTTTTCCAGGACAAACAAGGACTATTAAAGGCATGTAATCTACAACACTCAGATATACTTGTTCGAAATCCTACCACGGTTGTTGATAATATTGTTTTGCCAATCAAGGTAAGATACAAGGCTCCGGTAAGTCAGTTAACGATTTTATCAGGCAAGTTGGTGATTTATTTACTGGTGACATCATCATGAACTAAAGTAAAATTACATACCTTGGAGAACCAACTGCAAATAAGGATACGGCAACAAAAAATATGTCGATGATCAAGAATCTAAATATTAGTGTGCTGCGGTATAATGCTTGCATTTCTCAACATGAATAATAATGGTATCAAAAATCTTAGAAAACCAGAGTCTGGTTTTTATGCTGCAAAGAAGAAACGAAGGAAATTCCAATAACAACTTTGCTAGAAACAATCAATGATGAAATGATCACAATTAATAATTTTTCCAATCACGTACAAACGTTTTTAAATTTTCTTAGAAACGTGAACAGAACCGCTAACGAATTTTTTTTTGTAAATCCACCAAATGTTATTATTAACCTCAATGATTTTAACACAAAAATCAATGATATTGTTAGTGGGATACCTAATATCGTTGGAAAAATGACTCTGATTAACATTATGCACAAACAAATTAAAAATATTGTGTACACAGTAGCATCAAAAGTATCAGCATGGACACCGGAAAATAGCTCTATTAAATATACCGCGGATGTCACTGGCAAGTATAGGTTTTCCGTACTTAGTTCGGAAAAATTTAAAATATTTGTTACATTTCCATGGCGTCATTCAAACGTTTTGTCTGGAACATTCTCCGTATTAAAAAAAGATGTTCAAGAAGAATTTATACTAGAACCGTCAGATAAAAAAAAATTAACCGTAGCGCCTTACATTTGGTGTCTTTGATTTGTAGCTAAAACACCGGAAGTATTTGATTAATAAAAGAAATATCATATTATGAAAAAAGTATATTTGATTTTAATCACATTTCAGATAAAATTCCAAAAAACGATGTGGACGGACGGTCTAATACAATATTACAGATATTATCATAAAACACTTTGGTGCGTGAAAAAATGTTACAAATAATATAAGAATATACTCCGGATACTATCATGTTTGCATTGCGGATGACCGGCTCTGGTATAATTTAAAGTGGAGCATCATTAAATCCGTCTTTGTTAATTATATCAGGCGTTGGTGATTCTCTTCCAACAAAGTGTAAAAAAAATTGAACCTCGACTCGCGAGTAAAACAATGCTTGCAAAACGGCTAGTATCACCTACAAAATATTATTTGATCAGATAAGATCTTAATTACGGGCTATAAAATATTATAAGGATGATACGCGAATTTTGTACTATTGACAGTATGGTGACGGATATCCTGCCAATGAGTTGTTGTTGTTGTTGTTCTAGGGCTTAACGCTTTTTTTCAGCACACGATAGGCTATAGATGGCGGCCAGTATTAATGGTGGAGGAAGAAACCGGAAATCCGCGGAAAGAACCACCGACCCACGAGAAGCTACTGGCTTGCTTTCTCACATATCCTCATTCGCCGAATCTTAGACTTGAACCCACGCAGACGGATTTGAGATAGCAGTGATCCGAAACGGAGAGCGCTTTAGACCACTTGGCCACTCTGAGCCCTCCTACAAATGAGAGTCAGTAGGTATGAAAATAATTATCAAAGAAAGTGGGTTTAAATTTCATTAACCCAGTTTCGTTCTGCCTCTCTGATGCAGTAATAGGTCTCAGAGATTTATTTGGAGGGTTGGAAAAGGTCTTTCAGCTAGAACCAACACTTCGGATAAGGGTCGGGTGGGTGGGTGGAGGCTTTGAGATTTGTTTGGAGGGTTGGAAAGGGTCTCAAGCACTTTGATTTTAGGTAAAGGTTGTTTTGGGATGGGGACTGGAGGGCCTCTGTGATGGTGATTTATATTTGTTTTAAGGGATGGAAAAGGTCTTTTAGCCAGAACCAGTACACTGATTTTAGGTAAATGTCGTTTTAGGATTGGATTGGGGGGTTGTCTTCGAGATGGTGATTTATATTTATTTGGAAGGTTGGAAAAGGTCTTTGAGCCAGAACAAGCCTTTCGTCTGCTACTATGATCTATAATTGGGAGCACTTTAGACCACTCGGCCACCCATCCTACCACCATCACCACTATCAAAGAGATGCAATATCAGATATATATTCAACAATATACAATGTACATCAGTATTTTCGAAATGATACAGTTTAATTAAAAATATAACATCATGAATCATAATGAAAACTTCTGACGTCTGTGTCCAAATATGAATCCTCATGTGCGTTTTGTGTCTTTTTATATTTTTGCTTATGTTTTTTTTTAAAAATCATGCTAAGTGCTATAAATGAACCAAAAAATCACTTGTAAAAGACAAGAGGACGAAAGTTATGGCAAAAAAGAAAAAGAAAACATCTTTGAAGGAATAAAGTGAGTTCATTATCACTCTTAATGAAGTTCAACAGTACGTGTAATAATACATAACTATGATCCAGTATAGTAGTAATGTGATAATGTCTGTGCATTTGTCTATTAAATAGACATAAGTACTTTCTTGTTACGCTTAAATGGTCTTGTTGTATTGTGTCTTAAAATATGTATAAACAAGTAAAACCAACAATTTAAGCAAGTTCAACAGGTAATTTATTTCTCTCCAAGACAAAGTGAAAGTTCAAGATACACAGCTGTTGAGAATTAAATTACAAATAATCCTAAATGTCCTATCACAAGTCCTAACATATCGAACATTCCAAATGAATATCAGTAGTCTATTATGTCTTGATAATCAGGCAATCCAGAAAACTTTGAACAAGTTCAGAATAATCCAAACTAATGTGCATAAATATAAAAGTGAATAAGCACTTTAGTAATTCCAGTGACATTCCTCTCGAATATTATTTGAACACATCTGAAAATTCTGATCATAAATAGATTCCTCCGAACTAACCTAAAACACAAATTAATTAATTCTTCTGTTTGAAAATTGTAAAATAAATTTGTCCATGTTTATATGCCTCCACTTGTATTTGTATTATATGTAACACCGCCATTCTAATACAAAATGGAGTTTATCCTATATTCCATTATAAAATCGACATGTTCCATTTTAATGGTAGCTCTGGCTTGGCCCATAGTTCTGTCTGAACACAGTTCACAGTTCATTGCATTAGTGGTGTTCCACCAACAAGCTCTGCCAGAATATTCAAGTCTTGAATCTAACTTTAAATAAAATTATCTTTCAAGCGTTTCCTGTCTAGATGCAGGAACAAACCATTATTACATACACCTTGTTACAATCCTACATGTCTGAAGCTAAATGTTTCGAAGTTATTTAATTCCTAATCCCCATGACATCACATACGAGTTTGTTATACATTCTATAAATAAAATGCAGTATACTATTTTTGTATACTTTCTGCTGCTGGAAGTTATCATTTCAACCAAAATTAAATCCACATTTTCGAATAATCATCTTGATAAATCCAAACCAAATATCAAATTAACCATGTATTATGACATTATCAATTAGATTGTACACATGGAACTAATTAAAATTGTTCTTGGGCATACCGGATATCTTTGTAGAAATGCGTGCATGTTTTCAGCATAGAGATTATCTCTGGAAACATTGTGCTTCGCAATACCTTCAAAATACCATGCTTGATTACTATGTATATGTCAGTTACAATCAATCAATTATATATTGCCTTATAAGTCTTGTCCAACTGAAAACAACACAGAATTAGATCTGCTGTCGCATTCGGTTTTGATAGTTGTTTAACTATTCAGTCCTAACAAATTGCATAGGCCCATTATTCGACGGCACATCTGGGTCTACGCAGCTTGCAGTTACATCCGAGTTACAAGCGAATGTAGACCGTACCGGTTGTGTAAATTGTCATGCCAGCTGCAGTACAATAGGCTAAGTCTGGAATTTATCATTTTAATTAAGTTAGTTTATCTTAGACCGCTACGCATCTATATTGATTCCTTATCAAAATGTATTATTCATATACACACAATATGGCGATGTTAAGATTAATAATATCTCTTTTCTTTCATTTGACCTATATTAGCCTGCCGAATCCATAACACCCCCACCCCTCTCTGACTGACCCGGTGGCCTAAGTGGTTAGAGCGTCCGCCTCGGATACGGGAGGTCGCGTGTTCGAACCCTGATCAAGTCATGCAAAAAACTTATAAAAATGGCTCTGACAGCTGCCACAAGAGATTATCGTTGGGACTGGTAGGCCTGGTGTCAGGATAATGTGACTGAAGGGGGGACATGATGCCGCATGTCTGCGGCATGATAACCCTCTCTCTCTCTCTCTCTCTCTCTCTCTCTCTCTCTCTCTCTCTCTCTCTCTCTCTCTGTGACCGACTCGAAATTAAGTAAGGACTGAAGTTCCACTATTCAATTTCCCATTTAGCATTTGAAATGCCTTGCATACTGGAAGGTAAATAACGTTCATTCCGAATATCTTCAGGATAATTTAGTACTTCTCTAAACGCTGGGTGGGCGTAAAGGTGAACTGTGTGAATATATGTTGAATTAGTTTTACTTTTCTCTACGTCACATATTATAAAGATAAGAAATACAATATTTTGGATGACTGCTTCCTGGTAGGAAGAGAGGATGGCGTTTGAATTGGGAGCGGTATCCTCAGTTTTAACATCATCTGCTGAAATGTGGAATGTTCCATTCTTGTGCTTTATTCGTGGCTCATTTTAAACGTCATGGGGTACTTTACGACCTTGCAAAGTTCTGATACCTTTCAATAATGGACCTACCGACTGTGTCATCGACTGCATTCAATATTCATGGTACAAGAAATGAAGTCGCAAATGAATGATATATGATGAAAACAATATACGGTTAGATCACTGCCGACAGACCTTCTGTGTGTCTTTGGGCGAGACATGAGAAAAATGTTCTTGTGATTCTTAATTTCCTAGCGTTAGAGGACCTCGTTTGAGAACATACAAGTGCAGTGGGTCAATGATTTTAATTTTGGACCAGCAACAACGTCTCACAATTCAATGTGCACTGTCCTCAATTACACACAGATATCCACACCACAATGTCCATGTTCTAAAGAATAATCAAACTTTTCAGTAACAAGAACACCTAACTCCAGAATCAGTATAAAACATGAGAGGGTCAAAAATGTTCAAAACATAGACTGGGACTATATTTTTGGCACTGACACGAAAGTAATAATCGTGACCGGAGTCCTGTTATGCCAATTTTTATTTATCACGAAATTTAGTAAATCTCTTATATTTGCATGTGATGCCTATTTTGGCTTTAATTATGAAGCCTTTTGGATTCTGATAGCAAATAAGGTCGTGACAACCGTCAGAAAATGTGTAGTGTCGGTGTTCCACAGGATACAAGTTTTGCACATAGTTATTTTGAGATGACAACGCTAACTTGGCAATATTTTCCTTAATTCTAAAAAAAAATTCAGTGCAGTAAACATTTAATTGTAATACAAGACAATTTCTATTTGCAAACATATCTGAAATGTTTAACATTAATAAATTAAATTTTAATATTTTTTTAATAAAAGCATTTAAATTTTGAAAGCTAAATCGTAAACTGAAAAGTTGATTAATGAATGGCATTTGAAACAGATGGTACTTTTGGCCTGTACAACTGACAACATTGTTCCCCGAGGTAGTGAAGCAAGATAGCTCAAAGTGACTTTTGTAGCAAATTACAATTTGCCAGTTCAAATGTATACAGTGTTCATACTAAGTAAACAATGACAAGTGCTCTATTCCAAAAGTATTCTGTCAGGTAGGCAGCCAGTTCTTTGTATAAATATTAGCACACTCGAAATTCCCATTCTGATGGGACCAGTGCCATATTATATAGCAAAAAAAAAGTTTTCCGTTACAGTGTCAATAACCACAAAGGGCAATAGGAAAATACAGCTCCATGGAGACAGTACCTTACTGAACAGTGGTGTTTAATGAATAGTGGTGCTTATGAAACCAAAGCCATGTCTTTGAGGTGCTATATACCAGTGTGGTAATATGAACCATTCCTCGTAACTTCTGACGGGTACATTGACATGCCTTAATGAGACCATGTCATCATCTGACTGCTGGACAGATTACAAGCTAATCCAACTCTTCCACATTGTTCCAAATAACAAGCTAGACCTGAAAAGAGATAATATGTTTTAATTATTCCTATAGATCAGTAAGATGCAGGTAAATGAAGTGAAAATGTGGTAGATAAGGACATTGCACAATGACATAAACCATGCAAGCACAGGAAAGAACACACACACACACACACACACACACCAAAAAACTCATCAAACTTGACATACTGACAATCGGAAATGTGAAGCAATGATAACGCATAAAGTGGTTATTCATCCCAAACTTAAATGCTAAAAGGTTTCTATATGTTTATCAGATCATATTCAGCCATTTACAAACAAAATAACTAATAATGCACACCAGCCATCATAAAATTTAAAGCAATGAGATTGTGAGGTTCCAACATTGGTGCAACAAATATTGCATACCAGTATACAGGGAGTTATGTGACAATGAGCTAAATTAATTAAAATATACTACTAAAAGTAAGCTAATTTTTGATGGAAATAGAATCTTTTTATATTTCACGTGCATGCAGCTGGTGCTTCTAAGAGCAACTATTGGTACCAATGGATCCAATATCATCAACTAAATGTGATATTTTGATTCCCAAAGCTTGTAATTAATGATGGTTATTTGCAAATGTGAGAGATGTACCATCTACATATTAACCACAACTGTACAGTAAAATTCAGATGATCTACATCAACACAAAAATGAGAGGGGAATATAATACTCTAAAAATAGACTGGAACTACATCCGTGGGTATTGACCCAGAAGTAATAATTGTGACCAATTCGAGTTGTTAAGGGTAGCACACTCAGGAATGATTTGACAATTTAAAACAGGCATGTGCAAATTCCTCAAAGTGTGGGACGGATGGCGAGTTTTAAATGTAACCAGATAAATCCATGTTTCATGACGCGGACCGCGGGCTGTATGTTGCACATGCTTGATCCGGAACATATGATGACGTATTCTTGGTGCTTGAGCGAATCCCAAAACAGGTCGTTCAAATCGACCCTATTGAGTGCCGTGAGTGAGATAAGGAGACTTTACCATCCATTGTCACTGGTATTTGGGATCCCATCTTGCTTCTATTGCATTTCCAATACATCTATGCAGATCGAAGCAACCGATGAAAAAGTTTGAAAGAAAATTTGGCCCTGATACCCGACAACCTCCCCCCTCCAAAAAATCTCAACAAGAAAAAAAAACAATGGTGAGATAAATAACTGCTCTTCAGAATCTTTCGTGCACTTCATCGTTTTTATAAAACATTAAACAGAGCAAACATTGAGGCTATAAAATGCTTTGAATCCTGCGTTGGCACTTTCTAAAACACACGTACAGCATTAATGGATTCAAACTTGACGATTAGATGAGAGCTATAGTTGTTTTGGGCTTAACTCCATATATAAGGGGAAGATAGGCTATACATGGCTGCCTTTGTAAATGGAGGATGAAAAACACGGGAAAGTCCTAGTTAACTACGGGGAAACTACTGGCAAGATTTCTCACATACCCATATTGGCCAAGCCTGAGACTCGAAACCCTTGTGGACAGAGTTGAAATCGGTTAAGATGAGGGCGTTGTAGCACTCAGTTACATGGGGTCACTATAGATGTGTGTGTGTGTGTGTGTGTGAGAGAGAGAGAGAGAGAGAGAGAGAGAGAGAGAGAGAGAGAGAGAGAGAGAGTATTAAAGGCAAAAATTCTTTAATTTTTATTCCCAGCGATGATTCTTAAAATAAAGTAGCGAACAAAAGACACTGTAGTTGTTGCTGTTTATTTGATTTTCTTTTTTGAGCTGCTCCAGTTTCTTCAAACGCTATGACTATTTTGTGAGTAGCCGGGTCTGAAGACAACAAGCGATAAAGCTTATCGTATTACGCATGCTCGTGACGTACGCTCTCAAGATTGTAACCTGGAGATAACCAGAACATACACGTCGCTTCTGTCAGCAATCGGATAGATTTGGAACAGTATCTACACACGTCACGTCATCTTTTATGCAGCCTTGTATTCATATGTGCAAAGAAACTACATTAAACAGAAATATAATTCAAAATTGTACAGGAGAACTTCGATTGTGCGCCCCTATTAACCGTCAGTCTATGCTAACCGGCAGAGCCTTGTATGTCAAAATATTAAAAAAGGTACATTTACATATGTAGATATTATGATATTTTGATGCCTCGGGAAATCGCATAATATTTTAATGTACATATTCTATTCTCCGTCTATTCTCATATCCGTCATGGTCTCGGTCAAGAACACTGACAGAAAATCGAAGATCTTGTGTAAACAAAAAAGAGAAGAAAAGAAATATATTATACGGATCATATGGTTTCAATACATTTCTTTATCATAAATCATTGACAACAAATTGCCAGTGCTCAAACTGATAGTATTCCGAAGCTAAGGAGTAAAACAGTTTGTGGGTTTTTAAAGGTCCAAAATCTATAATTTACAATGATCAGTAACAACAATTACTTTAATGGCTATAATTTGTCTGTACAAGAACAATACATACTGCAAATGTCTTCAAGATAACTTTGTTTCATGCAGTGTTAATGGTTATTACGAGCAATTACAATGTCCTCCGTCATTGTCCCGGGTGACCGATTGGTCTAAAGTGTTCGTCTTTACCAATTACTGCCATCTTACCTTTATCTGCATGGGTTCGAGTCTCGGGCTCGACCTATGTGGGTACACGAGAAATCTTGCCATTAGCTTACCATGGATTGGTGGTTATTACCGGGGTTTTCCCAGGGTTCCTCCTCCACCATATATACTGGCCGCCATGTATAGCCTATTTTGACATGATAAATGGCGTTAAACCTAACCAACAGCAACAAACTATATTGTTACATCCACGTAGACAGCATTGTTTTGATTTATTATTTTACTTTCAACAGCTGTTTATTGCTCGACTGATTAACAATAGATTATTTTTGCGAACGATAAAATCCGAGGTAGAAAAATATCGTAACCCGGTTGTGTCCCCAGGTATTAGGAAGCATTTCGATACTCCTTACCTAACAAACACAACTCATCACGTAATCCA